ACTGTGGCTATCTTGTGGATATCTTACTCCATTGTGATGGTGGCTAATTACATTTTGGCATATTTTTAAACATATGTGGTATGAACCACATGCTGTTTTTCAATACTACTGTGATAGTGTTCTTAAGGGTACCAATCAAAAAAGATCTAAGATCTTCAAAAATGAAAACACCCTATTTCAGAAAAGGAAAAATGTTGAAGCTTTCTGTTGTGATGATGTGACACAGCACATTTTCCAAGAACAGCAAAATCAGCTGTTTCATGCCTACTTGTTCTACAACCTTTTTTTGAGTAACTATAACTTGAAACTTAGCCATATGGGTGTCTGCATCATCCTGCAGAAGAGACATCTGACTGTCTATAAACACTTCTATGACTGTTTTCAACGCTATCTTTTTGAGTTGCTCTACTGTTGCTTGACTGAGGCAGTCTGCACATCTGTATTATAGAAGCTGATCCTGTGGATAAATCAGGTGAGTTTCAATTACTGCACAAATAAAGTTCTTTAACTTGAGGTGGGAGAGAATTGGGAAGGTCAGAGAAAGTGCTGAGAGGGTTAGAAAGCAGAGCAGGACAGTTTATTAAGATTAACAGCTGCAGGCTTGTTGTTGCTAATAGCATGGAAGATTATACAAAACATAGGTGAATCCTTTCATGGACACTTATATCCTCTATATTCCTTCTTGTAAGGAGCTTACTGCAGAGCCCTGTAGCTCAAGCCTGTGCCCTTCTCACCCAGAAGGAATTTTAAAATCCTCAGAGTCAGGCTGGCTGGGATGATGACTGGCTGGCTGGTTGAATGGATGATTCCTGCTAGCCAAGATCACCTCAGAGTTACCCTGACGTGCCTGCCGCTGCTGCTGACTCTATGCATTTTTCAGCATCGGTGGCAGATATACTCTTTATTTCAGAGAACAGAGTAGACAAGCCACAGGCTGGGAAAAAAAAAAAAAAAAAAAAAGCAGGGGTTCTTCTCTAAAAGGCGACGATTTACCTTAAATAAATAAACAAATACATAGTTAAATAGGTGCATAGATAAATAAATACATAAATCGAGGCTTTCTCTTCGCTCACCTTATGGAATAGCAGTCGAGCCGTTTAGGGCTATCTCAAAGGGAGTAAAGATGCCTGCCTCATTGCAAAGCTGTCCGGAAGACAACAGGTCTCCCGACTCCGTTGTTACTGCCCAGCACTCAGCCAGCAGACCCCGAGCAGGGAGGACCCGGCCCCGGCAGGAATCCCGGCTCTGCAGACACGCACTGACCCCCCGCCCCGCCGCGGGCCCCGCCACAAGCGCCCACGGGCGCCGTCCGACCCACGCTCCCCTTTGCCTTTCCCTCTTCCACGCTAAGGTGGATCACGGACTGGTTGTTATTTTTAACTGATGTGCTGCCTCCTCCCCTGCACCCTCCCGACTTTTCGCCCAGCTCCCGGCTGCGCTCTTGCAGACACATTTTTCTCATTGCAAACGGCGTGAGCATCAGGTGCTGGCAAGGAGAAAAGGGGTGCTCCTGCCTCCGAGACGCTGACTGAGGCGTGGGGAGCCCAGGTAAGGGTCTGGGTGTGCTCTGAGACCCGGGTCCCCCGTCTCTGCCCCTCACCCCCTCTCCCGCGCAGCCTCTCGCCCAGCCTCGCTGCCGCAGCAGCGATGCAGGGAAGTCGGGGGATCCTATCCCTGCTCCCCTCACACTTCTGTGCCACAAATCTTCCCTCCCTCCTCCCACCACAGGGGTGTACTTTGTCCTTATCAACCCCCGCCGCCCTCATCTCGCCAGTGACGGGGGGAGCCGACGGTGCAGGGTCGGCGGAGCTGCGGGAGGTGCCGGCCCCCTCGGCCCTGCAGGACAGACTCTAGGGACCAAGAGGGGACCCTACCCCCTCTCTCAATCCACTCCTCCTTCTCTCTTTATTTTTCGCTGAGATAATTTCAGCTTGTCTCAGTCCTCTTATTACTAATATGTTTTCCCCACTGTCCCCCCTCCCTTCCCGCCCTGGCCACTAGCTCTCCCCAGCCTCGTCCAAGGGATGGGTGTTTGGGGTGGGATGTAGCTGGGGAGGAAGCTGAGCCTGAGAAAAGGAGGGGGGAGGGAAAGGGAGAGATTCTGCCGTCGTCTCTGGGCTGATTGGAAGAGGCAATCATTGTAGCTGCGGCCGGAGGATTAGCAGCTAAACTTTTATTGCGCCCTTGTGTGTGTGTGTGTGTGTGCGTGTGTGGGGGGGTGTGGGGGTGTGTAAATGAAGTCGCCTCTCAGAGGGGAAAATCTTTTCAATTTGCCCTTGCCAGGAGCAGTTCAAGAAGGAACTCATGAGCATTTTGTCTGATCATGAACTGATCAACGGAGGGGAAACGATCCCTCATCTCTAACTCTTCCTTTCCCAGTTTTGAAACAATTCTTTCCTCGTCACCGCCGCCCTCCCGCCCTCCTCCCCTGCCCCTGCACTGAATGAATGGAATAGTCTCCAAGGTTTTCTTCTGCTTCTCGCCCTGGACTGGAGAAGTGAGAGGACATCTCTCTATCCTCATCCGTCTCTACCTCGCTCCATCCGTTCCCGAGAGGATTTCAGACGGTGCGATGTGTGTTCAGCCTCTTGCAGCCGCTGACACTTGATACTGTGCTATGCGCAGGGAGAGGGTTTTGCAAAAATGGGTTTGTTCGATTTTAAAGGATTTCTTCTCTAATAAGGATCGCATTGCACACAAATATGACTAAATCCCCTATTTGGTAAATCTTACTTCCCCCCTGCCCTCCTCTTTGGGTTCCCTCCCG